GAATATGGTATGCAACAGTTAAATCTCAAACACGCATACCACCTTCATATTTCTCAACGATCTCTTTTTTCAGTTCCATTGTGATTCTAGTCATTTTTTTAGTTTTCTGTTGCTTTTCATTTGCCTTTTTGCAATTCATGATTAATAAAAATAATAAAATTTTACTTACAAATTAAAATCAGAAGAAATTTAACAAAGTTATAAACCGTGGCACCGCAAATGTCTAGTCTGGTCTAGTACACTGATAGTGCTACTTATTTGTTGATGGCGCGTATAATTGAATTAAGTCGTATACCGAGCAAAATTTGTTTTGTCCAAACAGGACGTATTCCAAACTGGACGTATTCTAAAGCAAACGTATACCGAGGTACTACTGTATCTGTGATTTCTAAGTAGGTTTGTTACATAGTCCTTATGTGGAAATGTATGATTTCCAAATGAAAATAAATTTACATTTACTGGGAGTGTACAAGGTCCCAGCAGTTAATAAAAGATTCGATCAAGTTCTAGTATATATTGGATACACTAACAGATCACTGACAAAATGAATTGTAGAACACAAACATGACATAGAAAAGAAGAAACAAACCAGAGGTTCAGGGAGAATAACTGGCAACACACCTGCACAGTAAGTGGGAGTTGCAGGTTTAAGTCCCACTTTGGGCCAATTCTTTTCTTTCAGAATATTCTAAATTATTCATAAATACAGTGGGTAATCAGTTAATGAACATAATCCATTCCAGACTTTGTTCACTATCCGAACTGTTCGTTAACCAATCACCCACCGTATTAATTTAATAAGGGATGGCACCTAATGCCTGCCTCAAGAAACAAACCACTGCTCTATCCACATATGCCTCCAAAACAAGAATGAAAGCAAACTTGGAACAAGCTAGTCTCATCAGACACAGTCAGAGCATGCTAAAGTGATTGAAGCCCTGGAGGTTTACAAAGTGAAATTGTGAGAGGAATGCATCAATTTTAAGGAAGAGGGGATGATTTCAAGTGTATGGTAACATTTTATGATTATCCAAACAGAAACCAAGAAAATGAATTTCATCAATTAAGAAAATGCATGCCAAATTTATGTAACATCTATTTAATTTTATAAATCTATATATATATATATATATAAAAATGGATATGCTTGTGCCTGTATGTCACTTTGCAGCCAAAACCATACATCGCACATGAATGGTGTTTGTGTGTGGTAGTAGCCCCAAGTCTCCCATCGTGCACTATGGTGGTTGCGTCTCGATAGCTATAAGGGTGCGGGAGATATGGGGTTTGAAAGTGGTTGACTTCGAAAATGTGTGACGCTTCAATGAGAATGTTCCAGTTTTTTCTAGAAAGTTCCAGAACCTAGAGGTGAAATTTGGCACACAGTTAGGGTACATCATGAAAACGCACACTAAGAAGGGATTTTTCAAAATGCTCCTACAGGGGGAAAGGGAGAGCATTAAGGCTTAACCTGAAGAATGGCTTCTACTGTATTATTTTAGATGCAATTTTTTTGTCTTTAATTATGTTTAGTCTTCATTGAGTAATTACGAGTATTAAATTGATAACATTTCAGACATTGTTATAAATATTTTTTTATATATTTCAATTTTTTAACCAAATATTCGAACCGTTTTAAATTCGAATTTCTTTTTGCATATTGGTTCGATTATAGAACGATTGTAAACGTTCTAGAAAATTCATCAAATTAAAAACAGCTTGTTTGATTCTCAGCAATTCTTATCATTCTCAGTGGTAGGTGTTATATAACAATTACTATGGTTGTTGAAATATTGAAATTAAATAGGGTTTGCTTGCAAAATCTGCACGAGCGAAGCTGCGGGTAATAGCTAGTATGTATATAAAATTGATTAAATATATAAATATTTATACTATCAATAAAAACATCAAACACGATTTTGAATTTCACTATCATTTCTAAGTTTGAAATATATCTTTCTCCATCAAGTTTCAAAACAGAACAAAAGGTTTAAAACCTGAAGACAACTTATAATTAGGTTGAAAATGTTTGTCCATATGAAAATTAAACTCTGCTTGTGTTAAAATAAGTTTTTGAAGTGTTTACCAAGTAATCTGGCTTTTGGAAACATTTGGTGAACTACCTGCACTTGTCACTTATGTAGGTGTAAAGGATTTTATCATAACATCATATACAGGGTATCTTGTCAAGACCACAAACTCTGCAGAGTGAGAATCCTTGCCCAGAGTACAAAAAAATGACCCAAGAATCATACCTCCAAGACCCATAGTTTTCAAGAAAAATGTGAAAGAAAAAGTATGACATCACATCCAGTGCATGGAAAATAAGCATTATTGGAAATATGAACATCTGCACTTGCAAATGCCATTATGTTTACATGGGAAGATGCTCAAAATGACCACTGCACATATCAAGACATGCATGCGTACACTGTTGAAGGGCTGACTGAACATAATTCAGCATCAAAAGTGAATGTAGCATGAAGACAAGCAACCAAATTGCTCTCTGTAGTAACTGAGGTTCAATATACCAATTCCTTCAAATGGTCCCACAACTGCCACCACACAACTGAATCCCCATGTCAAATCCAGAAACCTGGATATTCCATATCCAACCAATCATGTACAGGAGAGCAGAAATGTGCTGATGTTCCTCTCACATTTCTCTTCATCATGCTGAAACCATAAGTCACTTTTGCCAATAAGAGTATGTCATCAAGGAAATCAGTTAGTACATTATGGAGAAATACCAAGTATGAATGTCTCATGAGCCATTGAGGCAGCAGATACAATCCAATAATGCAACTGCCCAGTATGCTTCCCCACACATTTACAGACCAGTGGACTTGATATGTCTGTGGGTGGATTGCACAAGGATTGGACTCTGACCACAGGTTGTGACTGTTGAAAACTACAGAAAGCAACTTGGTCGCTTGTCTTCTTGCTGCACTTACTGTTGTGGACAATATGATGCTGAATTGTGTGCAGTCAGTCATATATATATATTTCAAATTAGTATTCTAATAATTTAATAGTTAATTAAATAAAAGTTACTAGTGAAAATAATGAAACAGAAATAATTGTATTAATTATTAGCCCGATATAAATATTTTTAACGTGTTTAACCTACCTGCACATTTACAAATAGGACAATTGGTAGCTTCATCACGTGCAATTTCACAGTTGGGATTGCAAGAAATGGGTGGACAAAGAGGAGCACACATGCAACGAGCGCAGCCATTTTTATCCTTGTATGCCGTACAATATGGCCCAACACAATTTATTAATGGACAATTCGCCTCAAATTTAGCTGAAACATTTAATTTGTAAAATTATAAAATTAGAAATTAAAAATTTGGAAAATATAGTAAGAAATAAATATTAAAATTAAATTGTGACCCATCTCTGTGTTAAATTTCTTGAAGTCAGATAGCAGAGAATAATTTTTAACTTGTTTATCTCTAGAAATATACCTTTTTTTAGAATTATTATTTTAACTAATTTAATTTGTATTAGTCTAATAACATAAGTATTAAATAAACTGCAAAAATTAAAAATTAATATAAAATTTACATCTTGCATTAGCTCTTAATTTAAGTTTCACAAATAATGCTTTATGAATTATAAAATATGTCTGAAAATAATGATGATATAATTAAAATTTTATACTCAACACTCACGAGGGCTAGTAAATATGTGGCAACGACATCCTGGACACACATCTTCTGATTTACTTTCTTCAATTACACAGCCATCTGGACACTGAGGAGTATCGCACTTCTTTTCTGTTTGTAGTTTTAACAAAATGTTAATAACAATATTTAGTAATAAGTGAAAGGGCCAATCATCTAAGTCCTCATTAAAAAATTCTAATTTTGAATAAATAGTTAAAAAATATACCCCTTTTTTCAGCTGAAACACTATGTTGAGGAGATTCTCTCAGTCTTAATAGTATCCAATCACCACTGTGATGAACTGTGAAATCAGAAACTGAAGATAGAAGGGATTCAGCTAAGGGAAAATAATAAAATTAAATATCGTTTCTTTTGCAAAATTCTAATAAATTGTTTAATTACAGTTTAATTTAATTATCATTTGCTTTAATTTAGTTTTAAACCAGGTGATCATAACTAAGGTACCCCATTCAATGCTGTCTGGAAGGATTTGTAGCAATTCACATTTTGTATACTGATGTTTCCAAACATGCAGAAGAGATTTCTGTGGAAAATAATTTTGTTCCAAAAGTAATCATGGGATGAGGTGCTAAGAGTGGCAAAAAAATATGCATAACGTACACACGCTAAAGTCAATTTCTGGATATAAAACTATCTAATAACATTATTATTATTGCAGATCAGCAGTGATGATCATGACAGCACAAACATATTTCTGGTAAAATTGTTTGTGAGTTTCAGGTATGTGCAGCATAATCAGATCAGAGAAGTTGGCCTGCACAAACCTTAACATTACACACGCCTTGTTAGAAAGTCAATGTTGCAAGAGGGTGACTTATGTTAGGATTAAGTTTGAAAAGTTTTTGTCATTGACTGATTTATAAAAAAAAAAATGAGATTTACTTATAACATTTTAATTCTCACATATTTAATAAAAACAATACCAATGCTGCAAATGTGTTTGAGATCTATGACACCTTAAGAAACTGTGCCAAGGTTTAGTTGCTGTTTCAGTGCCAGAAGTCTCATAATGGTGAGTTTTGAAACTGAATCTTTTCTGCATGGCTAGAAAACTTAGCCTACAAATTTGGTTGAGTTTGGAATACTACATAGCCTTCCACACAGTGTTGAATAGGGCTACTTTAATTATAATTATACTGTACTTCATTTGTATCTTTAAAATAAAATCAAGGAAGAATGTGTGCTGAGCCCTTGTATTTAAGTGAATTTCTTTGTGTTTTCTCATTGTAAAATCAAACACCTTCTTGGGTGGCTCACTTGCTCAAATTTGAGCTTACTTTGAGTTCTTTCTACATTTGTCTTAGTCAATATTAATGATTAAACACTTTTGTAAAATTTAATCTTTTTTTGTACTGTTTTTGTTCAAATTAGTGAAATAAAAAGAATAAACATTTTATTTTTCAAAATTAGTTCACTGAAAACTTGAATATCTTAAGATACAGCATTAGAAACAATAATATGTTACACATTGCAATAACTGCCATCCAGAACACATGCCTGGTGTTATAAGGATGGGAAGAGAGCCAGTAATGGATGTAGATGATATAATAATTTCAATGATGTGTTTTTGTCATCATAAATGAGCAGCAAAGAAATTTCACTTTAATATTGGTTATTTTTTGTTGCTGATATTTATACAAATCCTTACTCTACAATAAACTTTCCTCTATTAATAATCTAATGAATTATGAGCAACCCAGCTGCCTGTGGCATACAGCAGCCCTCAATATGCAACCCCTGGGACTTTGTCAACGTAATTTTATTTTCCTGTTTTCTATCTTGTTGTCATTACACAACTCTAATTAAGCTGCTATTTGTGACAAAGAACATTAAAACTAAACTTGACCAGTGAAAATATGAGAATAAACTATATATTACTAAAATTAATATACAGTTTAATTTTACAATTATAGTCCTGGCAATTTTATCAAATGTATATTGTATTTTTCATTTGTGTCACCACCAGAAGGAAGTCCTGTAATGTTTTGCATAATGAGGTGGATGAGCAGCATCTAATAAAAAATCGACTCTGCCATAAGACTGTTTCAGATTCGTTCATTATGGATGAATTTTAGTAGTAAAATTGGCTGAGTGGTTAGAAAGGGAGGGCACAATATGAGTCAGATTACCTGTGAACTCCAGTTAATGACAGTTTCAATTGGAGTTTCTCATCAAATTTGAATCTGTCATTCTGTGAAATTCAAATTCAACTATTCTGCAATATAACACTTTTCATTGTTTCCTCAGTATCCTCCACCATAGACTGAGTGACCTGACTCAATTTCTGGGATCTATTCTTGGTTTTGTCTCTTAACATTTGATTTTAGAATCAATCTTTGAATAGAGCAATTTTATTAAAATGTCAATATAATATCACAAATTTATAGTTCAATAAATAAATTTTTAAAAATAACCAAAGCTCAATCAGTTTTAGAACCCATTTNATTATGTAATTTTTAATAAATTTAGAAACTTTATTAACTTGAAACCAGATTTAGAAACTTTGGTATAAAAATGTTTCTAAATTTGAAATTATATTGTTTCTAAATCTAGTATAGTTTTAGAAACTGTTTGGTAAATTTATACTTTTCAAATTAATTTTTAAGTAATTTAATGTACAATTAACATATAAACAATGTGAGACAAATTAATGATTAACAAAATGCAATCTATAACTCAATTTTAAACAAATATATTCTAAAAATTTGCAACTTTTATATTATTAGTTACAATAAGCTGATCAGCGAAAATGTAAATATAAATAGAAGTGTGAGATCCTGGGCTATAGTTTTTATAAAAAATTTAATATTTTAATAATTTATTTAAACAAAATGTTAACAAAAGAGAAAATTTTAAGAAAAAGCAACCAGGAAGTAACCATATCTTGACAAAGATAACACTTCCTGGAGAGATGACTCATACAGAAAATAAAGAGAAAATTTAAGATTGATAATGATTTGTTCTTCCATTTGATTTTATCTTTTTTGGTCATGTTTTGACCCAGAGAGAGTAGGGAAAGGTATAAAAGGACCACCAAAAGGTCAACTAGGTCAACTAGTTCTGCCAAAAGAGGAGACTCACGGTCTCTCCCATTTATAGTTTGATGGTCATCCTTCAGTCTAGTTCAATCGACTAGTTCTAGTCCAGTCCCGTTGCTACTCAACTATTCCAACCACTACAAAAGTCACCCTTTGACCTAATAACCACTGCCCAGAAAGAAATAGAAGACCGATAGAAATGGAGAAGAAATAGAGAATTTTACATTCAAGAAAAATAGTTGCCCTGAAAACATCACTTATTACTGAAGGTAATCTACATGCAACCTAATGCAAACCCTCTTTTTCATGGGCAGTAGAACTGTGTTGTTAAGATAGCTTTGATGTAGAGATTTGATAAATGTACCATTGATAAGTATGCCATTTTATTGTCAGGTGTATTTACGTAATTTAGAATTTATTTTTATTTTGTATAATCATAGCAAAATATACTCCCGTCAATAAACGTAGTTTGTTTTAGAAAAATTTTGGTGTTGAGTGCATCACTTCTGGGTTTTCCAGTCTTTCTTACTTCCCTCCTCCATCCATCCAAGTCCCACATATGATGCTCACTCTTGTGCATTGAAAAACGTGTGCCAAAAATCATTCAAACTGGTTTCCTATATCCCTGAAGTCAAATATATAGGTGGTGTCAGAGTCCTGACTGACAGGGGTGCTCTTAGCTGATAATCACAGAAGAATATACGCAAATTACAACAACTTACTGATATATATGTATAAAGTAGATTTAACCTATCAAATTATACAGTAAAAATATTACTATAAATAAGTAAATATGATAATTTCTACAAATGTATTACCTTCTTTTGTACAATTATATTCCAAACAACATTTATCTGGATCTTGAACGAAATAACAAAACTCATAAGATGGTGGAGAAGGACAAGCTTTGTGTATACACATTATATCTGGTGGCGTGGAACATTCACATGTCACACATTTATCAGCAGGTTTTAAAATAAATTTTTCTCCTATGTTGTAAGTTTTACCATCAAAAGAGCATTGATTATCTAAAATAAGAAAATTGTCATAAATGAATATCAAATATTAAACATTCATGAAAGATTAAATATACAAAGATTAAGCCAAACAATTTCCATAATTACTCAGGCTATTAAGTTAATATGCTATAATTAATAATTAGAAATCACTACTAGAGGTACTAGAGGTATACATTAGGTGTCATCTCTTATCTAAATTATTAATTAAAATTAATAATTTAGATAATTACAGCAATTGTTTGGCTTAGTATCTATACATCAGGTTTCAGGAAGTTGATATGATTTTATATATATATATATATAAGGATTGATTGGGAAAGTAAGATTATGTAACAAATATTTTTTAAAAAAGATATTCTGCCATCATTACTTAAGTTGATGCTTGGGCTAGCAGACAAATATCTGTCAGGCAACTGTTCATCATGGATGTGCAGTTAAGAGATTTTAAATATAGTATCTCTTCTAGACATTCTTCTGAGATTCTCAAGAGAAAGTCTAGTCTTAGAATCTATGATTTCTATACACAAAACATTGTTCATCCTTGGTCCTTATAAATACAACACTGGATTGCAGTTACAGGAGTGATGGGCACCCACAGGAAGAAACCAACAAGTGCAATTGTCTTGTACTTTTCAAAAACAAAGATAGCTTGGAAGAATAAATTTATTTTAATAATCATTACACTTAAGTAACTATCCATGTGTGACAAAATGGTATCATTCCTTTAAGCCTTTGGTTGGTTAATTATCTAAATTGTATATGTACTGCATCCCCTGAAACAAAATCCTGTAGGTGTCCTGTATAGACCCATTACATGGAAATATACCAAGATGTCTTTTTTAGGATATTGTGCTTCTGCAAGACAATGCAAGATCATATATAGCTCAAGTCAATGGGGTTATTGTAACAAACTGGATGGCAACTGTCAAACATTCATTGTACAGACTAGACTTGGCACTACATGATTTTCATCTTTCTGCCTTGTGAAAAAGCATTTTAGCAACTGTCAATTCCTAACACATAAGTGCAAGCAACTGTCAATTCATTAAAATTAAAGTCCTCAAATTTGCATTATATCTTGCAAATTTTAACAAGAACATATTATGTTAAAATGCAATTAAATTTTAAAATATGATGTAACAGTTTTTTCAGAGCACATTCTAACTTAAAATTTAAACTGAAATTCCTCTGAAAAAACAAAGAGGCTTCAAAAACATTAATCAACAGATAATACTTGACTACTATAAAGTGAATATATAGAAAAACAGACTATTGCTTTGCTGTCCAGTGAGAAATGTTATTTAGAAAAAAACATTACAGAGTAAACTTATATTAATAGTGTATTCTTACTTTCTGATTAACCCTTGTAGATATTGAATATACACTCATTGCCATAAAAATTAGCACATCAAGAAGGCGTTGTCATATTGCTGTGAAACTTGGCATGTAGCTAAGTCTCAAGTAGATATGAAAATGATTAGAGTTATACAGTCGACCCCACTATAAGACAGTAGATACGTTCCATTCTTTATGAATCGATTTCTTATGAGTCCTTGCCAATCATAGCCCAACAGGTGTGAAGTTTACGGACTACGTCTGATTGAAAGGTTTTCTTCCATAAAATTAATCGATTCTAGACTAATCCGACTCAACATTTCCAAAATACATATATTTTTTGGGGAATAATCCATATAAACTACGCTATAAACAAAAAATTGTAGGATTACTTACCGAGTGTGCACCATTTGACATTGCCATTGCTCAAGCTTGTTTTCGTCGCGGAGCAGCACACCAAACCGCGGCCGATTTCTGATAACTTATTTTTCTGCGAAAACTTCGTTGAACTTTGGAGACATCATTAATATAAATAATTTTTATGGCCGTTGAATAAGAAGTGTTTCTTTCACAAGAAATGTATAAAATTAGTGCTGTATTAGACTTACGGTACCTAATTTACATACTGTACAGATGATAATAAACTGAACTTACTAGCCTAAAATCTCCGTAGCGTGTTGCCAGGTGGCAGAAAGTATATATATAATTATAATAAAGTTACAATAAATTAAGTTAATATATAATTATATATACAGTACCTAATTTATATATAATTAATATATAATTATATGTACAGTACCTAATTTATATATAATTTATATATAATACTGTACAGACGATAGTAATCTCTCCGTAGCGTGGCACTGGACAGCGGAAAGTAGTTTGGCTGCCCGATGACATTTTACGTAATTATAGGAGTTATTTTTACCGTTTTATACAGATACCGTCGCAATTTTTTCACTGTCTTATAAGAATCGTAATTATAGGAACCCGTTTTATAGGGGGGTCTACTGTATTTATAAATTTCAGGAGATTGATTAAAATATATTTATATACATAAATATACCTTTTTAAATATATTAGAGTTATAGCAAGATGGCTCATTGCATAATACCAACAGAGGGCATTAAAGTGCGACCCCCTTGGCCTATAAAAAAAGTGTAAAGAGGCATCCTGTCTGTAGTTTACCTGTTGCAGAGGGATGCCGCATCACTAAGATGCCTTTACATTGCAATCAAAGTCCATATGAACAACTAACTGAGTTTGAGAGGGAAATGCATTGGGTTGAGAGAAGTTGGATAGTCATCTCACTGAATAGCCTGCCCACCTAGACCATTCTGACAACACTATGAGGTGGTATTGGGACAAGTGGAAAAGAGAGAAATTGCACACACAGTGCTCTTGAGAGACCACTAGCCAAGAGGACTGCCTGGTCTTCCAATGAGCAAGCACAAAGCCAACTGTGTGCATGCTCATTGGCAATGACACAGCCAACTGTGTCATTGTCCACCATCAGGACACTGATGTTGATCCCTGTGTCTGTCTGTACCATTTCAAGGTGCTTGGATGAGGAACATTTGCTATCACAGCAGTCTTTTCTTATGCTGTCATAGACAGCCACCCACCATTGCCTCCATTTGGAGTGATGTTGCTCCAACGAGATTGGACTGCAATGGAATGGAACAGGGTCACCTACTCCAAATTCAGTTTGGGCACTGACAACAGCCGTGTTTGTGTCTGGAGGCCCCGTGGTGATCACACAATCCTGCCTAAGTTTTGGACTGACACACTGCCATCACAGCTGGTGTGATGGTCTGGGGTGCCATCATATACAACAGCCTCTAATAGACCTCTAATAGAGATCCAAGGGACCACAACAGCTAAGTAGTAGGCTAGTGACATCCACACACAAGCGTGCCACAGGTCTGCCTCCACCACATTGCCATACTTCCCTGGCCTGCCCAGTCCCCTGATATGACCTAGATCAAGCATGTTTTGAATCATCTGGGACCCCCCAAGCTGGCCAGCCTAGGAGTTTGGCCAAACTAGAGGACTGCTTGCAGAAACTGTAGACCGAGATGTTGCAGGACACCATACAGCACCTGTATGCCTCCATGCCCACTCGTATCACATCAGATATTCACACTAGAGGTGGCCCAACAGGGTACTAGATCCTTCTTTCATTTCTAATTTTTCCTGCAATGAAGTATCCTTTTGCTCTCATTTCGTAATAATTTACTTTTATCACTGTTACATTCACACACGTACAATTTTGTTTGATTCTGACAACTCCTTGGTGCATTAATTTTTATCGTAATGAGTACATTAATATAATCTCAATACATCAATATGAAAGATGGGTTTAAAATGAGATATGTAACATTTTTTTTAAAATATTTTTTCCTTGAGAATTCCAAAAAGATTACAAATACAGTAGCTATACTAAAGATTGCTGTCTTTAATGCATTCTTGTAGTCAATTTAAAGCAGCCCTATATTTGGTTAAAGAACTGCATAACTTTAAAAATTATTAATGTGCAAGTTGTTTGCTATATATGCATACACACATGATCTTACATAAGTTGTAAGTATGCACATATGTATGTATCTGAAGTATCCAATAATTATAAGGACCTTGAATAAGTTCTCGCTGTTTTTTTGTGAAAATTAACACTTTATTTAAAAAAAGTCATAATAAACACATCACTGAAAGTATTGTCCGTCGCTAGCCACTACTTTCTCCTATCATTCTAGCAGCATTTGAATTCCATGTCGGAAAAACGACACGTTTTTTGAGGCTATCCAAGAATCAACCCATTTTTTGGCATCTTCATAAGAACGAAAGTGCTGCTCAGCCAGGCCATGTGACATCGATCGGAACAAGTGATAATCGGAAGGGGCGATGTCTGGTGAATATGGCGGGTGGGGTAGGACTTCCCATTTAAGCGTTTCCAAGTACGTTTTCACCGGTTGTGCAACATGTGGCCGAGCATTGTCATGTTGCAAAATCACTTTGTCGTGTCTCTGCTCATATAGCGGCCGTTTTTCCTTCAATGCTTGGCTCAAACGCATCAATTGTAGTCGATAGCGATCTCCCGTGATAGTTTCGTTTGGTTTGAGCAGCTCGTAATAAACTACACCTAGCTGATCCCACCAAATGCAGAGCAGAAGCTTCGAACCATGGATATTCGGCCTTGCTGACGATGTTGATGCATGACCGGGCTTACCCCACGATTTTCTACGCTTAGGGTTATCGTAGTGTATCCATTTTTCGTCACCTGTCACGATACGATGCAGAAAACCTTTCCTTTTCTGCCGTTGAAGCAGCTGTTCACATGTGAAAAGACGCCGTTCGACATCTCTCGGCTTCAACTCGTACGGCACCCAATGTCCTTGCTTTTGAATCATTCCTAATCCTTTTAAACGTTTCGAAACTGTTGTGTGATCAACTCCTAATGATTCTGCAAGTTCAGCTAGCGTCTGACATGAGTCTTCATGAAGTAATGCCTCTAATTCCTTGTCTTCAAACTTTTTTGGTGCACCAGATCGTTCTTTATCTTCAACATCAAAATCATTATTTTTGAAGCGTCTAAACCAATCTCTGCATGTTGTTTCCGACAGAGCATGGTCGCCGTAAGTCTCAACAAGAATTCTGTGTGCTTCAGCTGCAGATTTTTTTTGAATAAAATAGTGCAATAAAATTCCCCGCAAATACTCTTTTTTTAGCACGAAACTAGACATGTTTAACACAATGAAAAAATAAGTTGTTTACACTTTGGTGAAATGACGTATACTGAATTTCAAGGTCGCTTATTGTACTTCCTTACAGATGTGTCACCATCTAAAAATAAACACACGTGGTTCTGGTAACGCCATCTGTTCGAAAACAGCAAGAACTTATTCAAGGTCCTTATACATAATAATGATCTAGCATGAAAAAATACATAGAAAATATGGAAATACTTTTTTGTAATAAGCTTTCACTAAAAACAAAAATAATAGTTTTGTGAGTAAATTGTTAGACAAGTTATAAAACGTACAACTGAATTTTTATTATTTTAAATAGGAAAAATCTTAAAAGACCTTTAATACAGTAAATCCTTGATTTAACAAACTAATTGGTTAAAAGAGGTGTCCATTATTATCAAAAGTCTATTAAATTGAATGTACTTTAAAAACATATGTTAATTAATAATGAATTTATAACAGGTAAGATATATTAAAATGTTATAACATATAATCATATTTAATCTGTACTTATAATGTACATTAAGTAATCTATACTCATTGATTCATTGACCCAATATCTTTTAACATGTTCTACTGGATAATAAAAGAAAACGTTTTATAGTTATTCCCTTTAGGGAAGACATTTTTCATCCATTAAACTTAAAATTTGTAATGTGAAGATCCATTAAATTGACAATTTACTGTATTTCTAATATCTAGTAATTTATATTTAACTATCATTTAGAAGGAAGTATAGGCTACAATATAATATTTATGTAAAACTCTCAATACATATATCTTGGATCAAATGAGAAAATGTTTTAATATTCAACATTTATTTTTTGATGATGAATTGTTGTCTTTAACAGTTATTGATACTTTCAGATGACTGCTTTTAAGCACAGTTATCTGAAAGTATCAGTAAGTGTTAAAGATCATAATTCTAAGTAATGACATAGTGAAAAAAATAAATTTTCAAACAAATTATACTAAATTTTCTACACAATAATTAACTTTCATACCTTCTAACAGACTTTTTTGACCAGTTTGTTGTTTAGCTGATGTTGCTGGAGAAAGAAATGAATAAAATTAAAATGTTAACCAAACCAAATGTGAATAATTAATTTATCAAATGCCAAAATAGAAATAAATATATAATAAAAACTAAAATATTTCATTACATGAAGTTAAGAACTTACTTTTCCCTTGAGATTTAATCCTTGATCTTCCAACTATAACAATTAACTAATTATGGAAATTGTGAAAAAATAACATTTAATTCCTAAACTCTTGTATTTTCTACAAGATAATAAACTACTAATTTTTCCTATCAAGCAAATGTATTTTTGCAATGAGATCTACTTAAGACCTATCTGTACAAACAGTAGAAAATTAGCAAATTTGCATATTAACTAATTTTGCAACTCCTGTATGTCCCATGTAATATATAATTATTAATATTTGGGGCCCCTTAAGCTTAAGAACTTCCATCAAATGGTTAGTTTGCATACTGAATAATCTATCAATGTATGAATTTCCAACATATCAATACTTTTATGATTCATTTTAAATATATATAATATTGATATAAACTTAATGCCTGTCTAATGCTACCATGTGCATTTTATAGTAAAAATTATTCAGAAAATTTAATATATAATAAGACAGTATATACATATACATACTAAACTATACTAGGATAATAGTAAACTTTCTGTATATGATTGGCAGAATCTAGATTATATATCATATATTGTGACTGTAACATTTTTTGATGCTATTCCTTTATTCAATATATACAGTGTGATTCACTGATTCACTTATAACGTCCCTGATAAATATCTCATAAAATGTGTGTCCAATTAAAAAATCTATTAAAATAAAAATTATATTTTCAAGGGGCATTTTCAATTCCATAAAAATTAAGCCATTCCTACCTGCTGTAAGGAGACAGGGGGCAACTTTATTATTTTTTAATTGAAAATCCAAAAATATAAAAAGAAAATAAACAGTGTCCCATTTAAAATTCTAAAATTGATCCATGCCCCTTCTTACAGGGGAAAGGGGATGGCTTAATTTTTATGAAATTGAAAAGACCCCCAAAAATACTCAACTTTTATTCTGATCATTTTTTTTAATTGAACATGTTTTACAAGATATTTGTCAGGGACGTTATAAATAGACCACCCTGTATATGGGATGTTAATGTTTGATGCACTATAAATTTAAAGGATAGTACATAGTAGAGGTTGAATATTTTCTATGAAGCAATCTAGGGTCATAAATTAGCTGTCAAGAAATGGCAGAACTACAACATGCAGAAAATTTGAACTAACCTCCCAACTTCTTTTTCTGGAGATATGTAGAAAAGAGTACAGTATGGTGTATGAAACACCAGTGAAATCAAAAAAAGAACTGTTCATCTGTATCATTTCAGCATTTCATACTATCAGAAGAAACAAGCACTTGTCACAAGAGTACAACTGTTGTGTATCTGCCACACTTGACTATCACCAACACAGTCACATTTAGGAATTATAATATTCTTTATTAGAGTAATTTGAGCATACAGGAATAATAAATGTTATCACTGAGTTGCAGGAACTGAAAATTGTTGTTTTTCCACATAGCTGTTGTTGTCGCACCCTCTCTCATCCCTAATCCCCATTGCCACCCACTCATATCCCAAAAGTCCAAATACATAACAACAAAACATAATTTGTCATTGTATTCTATGTAACAAAGTTGATAGTTACCACTTCAAATATTTGTTGTAACATAGAAAAATATCAAATAAAGTTTCATTCACTATCCTGTATATATCCAGTATTCATTATCGCAAAACACATACACTATAAGATAGAGAAGGTAACTGTAGGCACAAAATGACAGTTGCCTATCAGACAGGTATGTCCAAATGTTTTGCATGCCATAGTTCTGCCAATTTTGTTTCCAACCCTAGGTTGCTTCATAAAACAATGCTCATCTCATAAATCTCTATTACTCCTAGATTTACAGCATTTCAAACATTAATACTCTATGCATATACTGTACTAACTGCTACCTACGACTTCATCCATGCAGATTTTGCAAGCAAACCCCATTTATATTCAGTATTTCAACAACCATAGTAATTGTTATATAACACCTACCACCGAGAATGATGAGAATTGCTGAGAATCAAACAAACTATTTTCAATTTGATCAATTTTCTGGAACGTTTACAATCATTCTATAATTGAACCGATACGCAATAACAAATTCAAATTTAAAACAGTTTGAACATTTGGTTAAAAAATCGAAATATATAAAAATATTTATAACAATGTCTAAAATGTTATCAATGTAATACACCTAAGTACTCAATGAAGACGTTTAGTCTTCATTGAGTACTTAGAAGTCTTCATTGAGTAATTAGTCTTCATTGAGTACTTAGGTGTATTACATTGATAACATTTTAGACATTGTTATAAATATTTTTATATATTTCGATTTTTTAACCAAATGTTCAAACTGTTTTAAATTTGAATTTGTTATTGCATATCGGTTCGATTAGTAAGTTGTTGAAAACAAAAAATTGCATCTAAAATAGTACAGTAGAAGCTGTTCTTCAGGTTAAGCTTTAATCTTCTACTCTCCCCCTGCGGGGGAATTTCCAAAAATCCCTTTTTAGTGTGTTTTTATGATGTACCTAACTGTGTACCAAATTTCACTTGTTAGGTTCAGCGGTTTGCTCTGGATGATGATGAATCAATCACTCAGTTAGTAAGTCAGTCAGTCAGTTAGGACAAGTAGTTTCATATATTTAGATTAACGTTTAATGTATTAGGGTGTAACAATTTAACATTCTCATGAATTTTTTTTAATATAATTGAACGTTTCCTCAACTTTTTTGAAATTTCCCTTACTAATTTGTGCTAAAGAGAAGAATATCTCCCATGCATACCAAAGACTGATGGATACCCTGATAATCTATTAGTATTATTTATAAAATTTAAAACAGTAGCTTTTAATTTAATTGATATAACTAGTTTAACATTTAAAAATAATGAAATTAAATTTAATGTTTGTAAAAATTTGCTACATTATTTTATAATAAATATTAAAAATCTTACGGCAATAAAATTTCATAGGACAGCAGCCAGTCTCATAATAAACAGGAATACACCCTTTTTCTACATAAGGTTCATTCGTGTTACACTGAATAGGTTTGCAACTGGCTTCACTGACACCATTCCAGTTCTCAGTGCACAAACATTCCAAGCATGGATTTTCTTTCTGATCTATTCGTTCCCCTAATTTATATTTTTTGCCATCACATTCACACTGAAATACTGTATAAAATACCAGATATTAAAATAAAAATTTACTATAAACAAAGAATATAAAAATATTCACATAAATAATCATCATTAAGTACAAACAGTAGAAAATTAGCAAATTTGCATATTAACTAATTTTGCAACTCCTGTATGTCCCATGTAATATATAATTATTAATATTTGGGGCCCNACATAATTTATCTAACACATAACTGGATTTGTATCAGCACCCTGTACGTCACACTACCATGCAACGTTATGAAGAATTACTACTCCTGTCCACATTGATAATGCTTACTGTTCATACAGACATGGTGACGTTTTCATCTTTATATTATATAGCTTTAGGCACAGTTTTTAGTTTAATTATATTTTTTCAACTTGTATAATTTTTAAGTATACTAAAACCTTTAGTTAATACCAACTGATGAGGGACTGTTTTCTATTGGAAAATAGTCTGAAATGCATTTTGGATTTTTCAGTTTGCATACTTATGTAATCATCTTATTGTACACCCCTTTATGTTTTATTAAATGTTTTTACTTTGATCCCTGAGCATTTGTGCCCATTATCATTGGTGTGATAAGCCCTTACTATTATCTGCCTGACAGTTATAGATATTTTAATTAATATAATTACATTTTATTATTACTGATATATTTTTTTTACATATTTTGTAATTTTGATTGTTACAATTTAATTTGAATATCATTACATTTTGTATAGAATGTTCCAATTAGAATTTTTTCAATTAATCACATTTTATTTATGGAAATGTACAATAACCTGATAAAAGTCTCTGAAAGGGATCAAAAATGTTGGTTCTTACAATAAATGTACTTGCTGGTATATATATATAGAAGTCTGTGAGTTGATTGTTTTCCAGCTTTTAACGATGTTTTAATATTTATAAATTAATAAATATTATTGTTATCTACATTAATTAATATAATTTAAAAGTCCTTGAATAAATAAAAATCTATATACTTACAGTTGTCACTTTCCTCTTCTGTAGCTAAAATTTAAAAGATTGTAAATTAATAAATACATAATCTTAAAAATTGTCAAATATTAACTTTAAGTTTGAAAATTAAAACTTACGACATATTTCCTGTGGACAACAACGAGAAAAATTGTAACCATAGTAACAACCTTCTTTTACAGGAACACCAAGATCAGAGGGACATTCGATACTAATACATTGTATAGTTGCTTCTTCGGATGTTAAAGAAGAACATCGGCATCTCTCACAAAGATTATCTGATTCGATACTTTCACCAATTTCATAAGTTTTTCCATGATATCTACACACTTTTAAAAATAATATTCCATTAATTTCAAGCAGGGAATATTTTTTATCTTATTTTTTAAATTAGATTAATTTATTAATCACATTCCTTATAATTTTGATAGGAAAAAATCTTTTTCTTTGTAATATTTCTGAATGAATAAATAAATAAATGGAAAGCACTGCTTAAATTTTATAAAATATTAATCAATATTACAGAATTATATTCAGCCACTTAAAGAAGCCAGAAAATTCATTGGCGACACTGAAGCAAACATATTATATATTTGTTAATAAATTAATTATATTAATCATAATTCTTTTCTAAAAATATTCTTAATGTCTAAATTTTAATATATTGTTGCATCAATAAACAAAATATTTTTATTGAGAGTCAAACTTTTTAAAAAAATTTATTATATTGTATTTATTGTATTCTCTAACTATAGGTACATAGCTAGTTTAAAGGCCAATAAGCATTTTCTGATTCATATTCTTTTTTATTGTAGGCAGACAGTATAACATTTAACATAAAAACTTACATTTAATTATTAAATTATCAACATTTATCTGTTGCAAGTAATAACTTGCTCCTGTAATTAGTTACTTGAAAATTGGAACTAGTGAATGGCTTGAGATAGGAAATACACCTTTACATTGTATAGGGTGATTATAAACTATTAAGCTTATTTTGGGGAGGAATAAAAATATAATGTGGTAATGTACTCACATGTCTGCTATTTTATTTAATAGGTTATTGAATAAAATATTTTACACTTTAAACAAATTCCATATGAGCTCCATGTGTAGCGCACAAAACATCTAGGCAGCATTCAATTTTGCATCATGTGTTACAGAGCATTTCAGCAATTATTCCTCCATTGACTTCACCAATTTATCTTTTCAGTTCTTCAGTGTCACAAACCTCTGTTGTGTACACTCTACCTTTGACAAATCTCCAAAGAAAAAAATGGTGTAACATTGGGAAATTGAGGTGGCCAGGAAATTGGTCCTCTGCAGCCAATCCAACATTCAGAAAATTTTTCCTGTAGGTAGTTCTGAACAATTAAACCCCAGTGTAGAGGTGCCCCATCTTGCTGGAAGTAAATGTTCAGTTCCCACTACTCACTTTGTAGTATCACACAAAGTGAGTATCACACATTCCTACAACATATCAAGGTACTTAGTGTAGTCACTGTATGCTTTGAAAAGAAGGTTTCCTAATTTTCCATCACAGTGCCACCTATGTTTAGTCAAGACCAGCACAAACTCTTAAAGCTACTCTATCATCTAAAACAAAAAATAGAGGTCACTCACTATGTTTGTGTGTTATTGTTTTTATTCCTTCCTGAAATGCACTCAATAATTTATAACCACTGTACTGCATGGGTTGAGTATCTAAATTAAAAATGATATCACCATGAATCTAAATAGATAACCTATGATTACTAGGTTAGTTAAACAGAAACAAGCCTGTTCAAGGCAAAAATACAGCATCAATATGTTTCAATTAAATTTAATTAACTTATATCATTATCTACTTGTGTTAAAAGTAATTTCTAACCTTAATCTTCAGTTAATAGTTTAAAAAAAAAACCTTCAAAATGTTTTCAGCCTTTCTAAGGCCATCTTCAATGTATGATTTCTCAAATGCTTGCCAAATTATATCAGATTATATTCACTAATTGCTTGACTATTGAGTTTGGATGTTTATATTCATTTATAACTTCTCTTCAAGACACAAATAAAATAAGTGCACATAAGACATTAGGACCACTTTTTGAATATTAATCATTTGACCAACAGAAATGTTCATCAAACCTTCAAATTAAATTTCAAAGTCCAATGTTTCAGCACTTGTTCTACAAATGTTCTATCTTTTGAAAATTTCAAATTCAATTTAAAATTTTTGGAAACATATTCTCAGGACTCCAGAGCAGTAGGGTGATGCCTTAGCTGTCTCAGCCATCTGGCCATTCCTCTACACAATGCTAGAATATGAATAATGGAAAAGAAAAATATGATAACAATGTCAATCTTTTCTAAGTAAGGATATAATTCTCATTTTACCAAGCACTTGCCTACATGAAGTTCAAATTCCTAATTTTTTTTCTTACGACATGCAAGTCTTAGTTGTAGGCACCTCAAAAGTTTCAATTCATTTCATTTTTTACACAGATGGCAATTTGTAAAAATATCAATAAATTTGTTTAATTTATTATAAATAAATTTTTTTATTGTTATGCTAAAATGTAAGGATGACCAGAAAGTCAAAAAATGAGCTCTTGAAATAATGGCATGCCAAATTGCACCACCACCATCACCACCATTGCAATATTTGTTGCTGGAAATTAGAACTCAGTACAAAAATTTGCTAACAATATGCCCTGTCTCCTGCAATAGTGTCTTGTACCAAGTTGGTACTTGCCAAAAACAACAACAGCAGTACATCTTGTGGTTATCAATGACAAATCACATGCAGAAAGGATGCTCTGCATATCATGGGTTTATTTTACAGCACAGTAAGTCCATTGGCATGTTTGAATGTCTGCTGTGGCAAAATAATGTAAAGGATGTGTATCAAAAATTTTCTAAAAATGGAAATATTGGTTTGCTTTACAAACCAATACCAATATTTCTGAATATACTAAACATCCCAAAGCCCAATATATAGATACTTGACCAAATGATTGCCTTAAACAATTGTGCTATAAATTCGTTAATGTCTACCTCTAGTACAAAATTACTTAGTATCTAATCATTAGTAATAGTGGATTTATAGCCCATTTGTTTAAAGCAATCGTTTGGTTGAGTATTTTTGAATTTGCTGATATATCAGTATCAGATCATTATCAATTACATCTCTAGAATTCAAAGATTGACAAGGTCTTGTAAATTAGAATTTGATAGAAACTGAACAAATAAATTTTATTCCAAGCAACATATTTTATAATATTTTCTAAAAAATAAAATCATCATAAAAGAATTAATATCACAAGACAAATTTAGAAAAATTAAATGTTCTTTTGAAAAAAGCAATAATAATAATAATTTGGAATCTTGTTGTTTAGCTTCAAGCACTTTTACTTAAAGAAAATACTAACATTTTAATTTTTGAACTATATATTGTAAGCTTTATATTAAGGAAAAACTTGAAATCCTTTAAACTAGACCTTTTCAAAAAAGAGTTCAGTATTACATTAATGAAACAAACTATGACTGATGGAAAGTAAATTTATTTAATTATCAATATTCTACATATAGTATATNTTTAAAAGCATAAGTATTTTATATGGGTCGTTTGAATCGTTCTTGTATATTGTTAGGAGTAAAAATGAATAGCAATAGGAAAAGCAAAGCTTTTGAATTGAATTCCAGATTGAAATTCTAAAATCACATGGAGCCCGATATAAGTTTTAATCCGTTCCCATGTGAAAACAGATGATTATTCGGAAATCAGAATTTGGAGAAACTCAGAAGTATAATCGACAGAGAGTGGATTTGACTGTTAAGAATTGGCAAAAAAGGTTACAGATTGTCCAGCTTTAAGTGAACAAATTATGTTGTCAATTTTACGAGATTTTTCCTTAAAGTTTAAAATGCCAGTAATTTTTGCAGGACAACGTGTGCATTTATGTTCATTTGATATTTTACTTGTGATTAAATGAGATAAAATTAGAATTGTATTAATAAATCTAATTTTCTTTATTTTGATCTTTAAAGTCAAACCTCATCTTATATGCAAATAAATATGATATACTAAAAATATTATATTATTTCTCACAGATTAAAACAAACTTTTATTAACATTCATCTGTTTTAAAGATATTGTATTAAATATTGAGAATAAACTTAAAATCTTTTCAAGTCTATTTAAAAATATATTTGTATCAACCCGCAATATGATCTGTGAATAAAAAAATCCAGCAACGAGTTGCTTAACTTTCCTGGAAACATTTAAAATTTTTGTGGCACCATCCATTACAATATTTTATTTTTAAAAACGTTTTCTTTTTTAATTATTATAAAATGGCAAAAAGATTAATTTTGAGGGTAGAGACAAGTTTATAAAAAATTGTAAATGCTAATAATGAGTAAAATCATCATTAAGTCTGACCCTACTCAAGATATGACATGCAACCCTCTTCACACCCTGTTCACCTTTAATTACCACCAGAATTTAATAGCATCAATTCCCCTAATATACAAATCTCCCTGCAAAATTTCAGAAATTTTCAACAAAAAGCACAAGTTATTAAGCTTCAAAGAGGATGAACGAAATTATGCCTCCCCATGTATATATATATATATATATACACTTACAATTTGAGGATTTTTCTGTATATATATATACACAGAAAAAATCCTCAAATCGTTTTGCATTTCTCAACATCCCAAGGTCCCAAGTCCAAAAATGTAAAAATCTTGATGATCATTTTTTGACCAATTGCCACACTTTTCCTCTGTTATACATAATCTATAGTTCCAGTTAAAATTAACTGTAAGCTAATTCTTTTGTGTTGTTTATTTGTAGTCCCCAGGTTCTGTTTTATATATCTTCCATTACTCTTCATGTTGTCTTTTGTTTTCTTATATAGGGGAAAAAATTGGCATCTTGCTCATAGGTCTTTTGTCATTGCATGCTCTAGTCTGTCTAGGTTGTTGTTCTTGTTAATATTCTTGTTTAACCCCTTACCGTTAACTTTAAGTTAGTATAACTAGTTTTAAGTTAAAAATAACTTAGATTTAAGCTATAAGTTAAATCTAACTTAACTAACTTAAAATTAAGTTATCAGTATATTTGCTGTTTCTCTTGGTTGTTTCAGTTAGGTTATTCTACTTCTTACAGGGCTTGCTAGCTTAGTTTCTGTATTAATATTAATATTAATTTGAAGCCTTTACTTTAGTTTTAAGCCTTAAACTTTACTCTGTATAGTTTATATGTAGCTGTGCTACTTCTTGGTATATGCTACCACTCAGGTTTTCTTTTAAACCCATTGCACTGTAGCCATAAAACTGCAGCCAGCATTAAACATAGAGGGGAATAACTTTATGTATGCTGCTCAGAGGAATCCTTCCATTCTCTTCTTTCTATCTATTTACCCTCCTTCTACCCTTTCTCTCTCATCCCCTTCTTCCACTGGCTAAACACTGTGTACAACCATTGTCTTTCATTATGTATGTTATACATAAAGCCAGGAAAATAAAAATGAACTAATTAAAGATCAATTAATCAATTTGATTATTGATTTTTCTATAGAATGAACAGTTAGTTTGACTTTTACCCACTATTAACTGACCTGAGCACAATAGAATTAACCACACCATGCCAGGACATCATTTTTTGTTCTTGATCCTCCTTGATCATCATTTGAGGGATATATAATCTAAAATGCATATCCTCCATAATTAATAAAGCCTGTATATCCATCTTTGTTGTGTGTTTCTGTATGATTTATTCCCTCAAGCAATTTTATGCTTACTCTTAATACTTAAATTTTGTTATTTATTTTATCTTTTATTATGAAGTGATGATAAAATAAATCTGTTTTGAAAACATTAATCAATTATTAAATGTCTAATCTATTCATAATTTAAGCATTTTGATTACTTTTGTTTCTTATTAAATGCAGTTAAGTTTCTATGAAAAGAAACTAAAGCATTTTTAAATTTGTATAAACAATAATTTTGAGATAAATTCTATGATATGTACCACTGTGACTAATTAATATATCCTTATTTATTAAAAGAGGGTTTAGTAAATTAAAAAATGAACATTCTGATAAATAATTCTGCAAATCAAGACCTATATAAATAAATCTTTCATATTTTAGTATTTAATTGTCTGAAAGCATTTAACATCTATATCATTTTCTTGCATTATATATTATCTTTGTTATCATATTACAGTACATCTAATTACAGATAAGCTTATTTCTATTCATATATTATTTTTTTATGTTCTCATCTTCTTAATTCCACTTGTAGACAACCTACAGATGGAAAGGAACTTGTGGTTAGTGTGACAATAAATAACCGTTAAGTTTATACATTAACCTAAAATTAAAATATTTATTAAAAGTTTGACAGAGAGTGTTTGGATATTACATATTAAAGAAACACATTAAATGAAGGTTGTTGATTCAAACTCCAGCCTGAATTACTCATATTCCAGATTAAATAAAAATTTTTGGTTTCCTTAAATAAATAATCTATGTTCTCTTATATTTAAATTTAATTAAATTATTTAATAGTTAAAGTTATGCTCATACTTTGATAACAAATGATCATTTATTCTTATTTTTTAGAGACAAGCTTCCAGAGATACTTATCATTAGTATCTGTGATGTGACAGATTCTGTAACCATCCAAATGTGAGGCAAAGTATGCAGTTGGGTTATTCTTGCTGATCCAAATAACAAACAGTAATGTATTTAGATGTAATGTCAAATTATTGCAATTATTAGTTTGATTTCTAAACAATAAATACTTGAATTTAATAATAAAGAGATTAGTATCAAATATCCTAATTATTTTGTTTTCTACGTATAAATTAGACAGGTAAGAATTAGATAGAACTTCCATTACCTGGGAAGCCTCATAACATCTGAAGGAAGATGTGAAAAAAATGTGACATCAAGAATTGGTCAGAGTAGGGAAGTGTTCTACAGAATAAAAGGAATGCTAACATCACAAAACATCTCTGTGGATGTAAAGAAAAATCACATCACAAGTTATGTTTGGGGAGTAACCTATTAGAATGCAGAAACATGAACATTGAGGATAAAAGAAGGGAAAAACTACAGGCCTTTGAAATGTGATACTGGAGAAGAATACAGAAGGTATGTTGGACTGAAATATTGCCCAATGATCAGATTTTAGAAAGAGCAGGAGAAACCATAAACATTCTTAACACTATAAATAAACAAAGAAATAATATGATAGGATATCTATTAATACATTCAGAATGGATGAAGATGAGGCATTATTTGAGGGAATGATGAAGAGAAAAGCAGTAGGAGGATGACGAACAATGGAGTATTGATATATAGTGAAAGGCAGAATGTACTATAGCAAAATTAAGCAACTGGAACAAAATAGAAATGAATGGTAGACTTGATGCTGCCAACAACCCTTAGGTTCAGGAAAGAAGAAGAGAAGTAGTACAAACTAGATAGGAATTATAAAATGTATTACAAGAATAAATTTTTATATCAAATAATTTTTTTCATTTCCTCTATTTAATAATATAATAGAAATAATTATTTAATAAAAATATTTTTTGTTAATGGCCCAATGTATTATTATTTATGGATTAATAATTCACAAACATCTTCCAGCAGATACATTTATTGGAAGAACAAATGTTTTTGATCACTTTGATTTTGGTGACAATATTTTAAATATGAGGTATTTGTACTAAAGTTTGCCTACAGTCAAAGGTAACATTACATTTTATTAACAAAATTATTACAGAAATTGCTTTTAGCCCTAGGTATAATTAAATTAATTAACATATCTATAACCGTGAGGAAGATAATAGTAAGGATTAAAGGGTGAAATAGATAAAATTAACAATGACATCTGGTTGCATCATATGTTGTCACTACTTGTGCACCATATGTGTAAGATAACACACCTCTGAACCTACAAACTCTGTCATCATACTGTTTTTGATACATATATAATTTAAACTGTCTGTATAACATTAGTTCATAACATATATAACTCTTTCAGGCACACTGAGTAGTATAATAAAATAAAAATTCGACTTACTTAAGCCTGTAACCAATGTGAAACAGTAAAATTCTAACACCGTTATGAAATTTTTTAAATAAAATTTTATTTAAAAAATTTCATAACAGTGTTCCAGAATATAAAAAATCCAGTTTGAATACATGAGGAAGAACACGGAAGGTTTTCAGAAAACGTTTGTGCGTTAGAATTATACCGTTTCATATCAGTTACAGGCTTAAGTAAGTTAAATTTTTATTTTAGTTCATAACATAATTTATCTAACACATAACTGGATTTGTATCAGCACCCTGTACGTCACACTACCATGCAACGTTATGAAGAATTACTACTCCTGTCCACATTGATAATGCTTACTGTTCATACAGACATGGTGACGTTTTCATCTTTATATTATATAGCTTTAGGCACAGTTTTTAGTTTAATTATATTTTTTCAACTTGTATAATTTTTAAGTATACTAAAACCTTTAGTTAATACCAACTGATGAGGGACTGTTTTCTATTGGAAAATAGTCTGAAATGCATTTTGGATTTTTCAGTTTGCATACTTATGTAATCATCTTATTGTACACCCCTTTATGTTTTATTAAATGTTTTTACTTTGATCCCTGAGCATTTGTGCCCATTATCATTGGTGTGATAAGCCCTTACTATTATCTGCCTGACAGTTATAGATATTTTAATTAATATAATTACATTTTATTATTACTGATATATTTTTTTTACATATTTTGTAATTTTGATTGTTACAATTTAATTTGAATATCATTACATTTTGTATAGAATGTTCCAATTAGAATTTTTTCAATTAATCACATTTTATTTATGGAAATGTACAATAACCTGATAAAAGTCTCTGAAAGGGATCAAAAATGTTGGTTCTTACAATAAATGTACTTGCTGGTATATATATATAGAAGTCTGTGAGTTGATTGTTTTCCAGCTTTTAACGATGTTTTAATATTTATAAATTAATAAATATTATTGTTATCTACATTAATTAATATAATTTAAAAGTCCTTGAATAAATAAAAATCTATATACTTACAGTTGTCACTTTCCTCTTCTGTAGCTAAAATTTAAAAGATTGTAAATTAATAAATACATAATCTTAAAAATTGTCAAATATTAACTTTAAGTTTGAAAATTAAAACTTACGACATATTTCCTGTGGACAACAACGAGAAAAATTGTAACCATAGTAACAACCTTCTTTTACAGGAACACCAAGATCAGAGGGACATTCGATACTAATACATTGTATAGTTGCTTCTTCGGATGTTAAAGAAGAACATCGGCATCTCTCACAAAGATTATCTGATTCGATACTTTCACCAATTTCATAAGTTTTTCCATGATATCTACACACTTTTAAAAATAATATTCCATTAATTTCAAGCAGGGAATATTTTTTATCTTATTTTTTAAATTAGATTAATTTATTAATCACATTCCTTATAATTTTGATAGGAAAAAATCTTTTTCTTTGTAATATTTCTGAATGAATAAATAAATAAATGGAAAGCACTGCTTAAATTTTATAAAATATTAATCAATATTACAGAATTATATTCAGCCACTTAAAGAAGCCAGAAAATTCATTGGCGACACTGAAGCAAACATATTATATATTTGTTAATAAATTAATTATATTAATCATAATTCTTTTCTAAAAATATTCTTAATGTCTAAATTTTAATATATTGTTGCATCAATAAACAAAATATTTTTATTGAGAGTCAAACTTTTTAAAAAAATTTATTATATTGTATTTATTGTATTCTCTAACTATAGGTACATAGCTAGTTTAAAGGCCAATAAGCATTTTCTGATTCATATTCTTTTTTATTGTAGGCAGACAGTATAACATTTAACATAAAAACTTACATTTAATTATTAAATTATCAACATTTATCTGTTGCAAGTAATAACTTGCTCCTGTAATTAGTTACTTGAAAATTGGAACTAGTGAATGGCTTGAGATAGGAAATACACCTTTACATTGTATAGGGTGATTATAAACTATTAAGCTTATTTTGGGGAGGAATAAAAATATAATGTGGTAATGTACTCACATGTCTGCTATTTTATTTAATAGGTTATTGAATAAAATATTTTACACTTTAAACAAATTCCATATGAGCTCCATGTGTAGCGCACAAAACATCTAGGCAGCATTCAATTTTGCATCATGTGTTACAGAGCATTTCAGCAATTATTCCTCCATTGACTTCACCAATTTATCTTTTCAGTTCTTCAGTGTCACAAACCTCTGTTGTGTACACTCTACCTTTGACAAATCTCCAAAGAAAAAAATGGTGTAACATTGGGAAATTGAGGTGGCCAGGAAATTGGTCCTCTGCAGCCAATCCAACATTCAGAAAATTTTTCCTGTAGGTAGTTCTGAACAATTAAACCCCAGTGTAGAGGTGCCCCATCTTGCTGGAAGTAAATGTTCAGTTCCCACTACTCACTTTGTAGTATCACACAAAGTGAGTATCACACATTCCTACAACATATCAAGGTACTTAGTGTAGTCACTGTATGCTTTGAAAAGAAGGTTTCCTAATTTTCCATCACAGTGCCACCTATGTTTAGTCAAGACCAGCACAAACTCTTAAAGCTACTCTATCATCTAAAACAAAAAATAGAGGTCACTCACTATGTTTGTGTGTTATTGTTTTTATTCCTTCCTGAAATGCACTCAATAATTTATAACCACTGTACTGCATGGGTTGAGTATCTAAATTAAAAATGATATCACCATGAATCTAAATAGATAACCTATGATTACTAGGTTAGTTAAACAGAAACAAGCCTGTTCAAGGCAAAAATACAGCATCAATATGTTTCAATTAAATTTAATTAACTTATATCATTATCTACTTGTGTTAAAAGTAATTTCTAACCTTAATCTTCAGTTAATAGTTTAAAAAAAAAACCTTCAAAATGTTTTCAGCCTTTCTAAGGCCATCTTCAATGTATGATTTCTCAAATGCTTGCCAAATTATATCAGATTATATTCACTAATTGCTTGACTATTGAGTTTGGATGTTTATATTCATTTATAACTTCTCTTCAAGACACAAATAAAATAAGTGCACATAAGACATTAGGACCACTTTTTGAATATTAATCATTTGACCAACAGAAATGTTCATCAAACCTTCAAATTAAATTTCAAAGTCCAATGTTTCAGCACTTGTTCTACAAATGTTCTATCTTTTGAAAATTTCAAATTCAATTTAAAATTTTTGGAAACATATTCTCAGGACTCCAGAGCAGTAGGGTGATGCCTTAGCTGTCTCAGCCATCTGGCCATTCCTCTACACAATGCTAGAATATGAATAATGGAAAAGAAAAATATGATAACAATGTCAATCTTTTCTAAGTAAGGATATAATTCTCATTTTACCAAGCACTTGCCTACATGAAGTTCAAATTCCTAATTTTTTTTCTTACGACATGCAAGTCTTAGTTGTAGGCACCTCAAAAGTTTCAATTCATTTCATTTTTTACACAGATGGCAATTTGTAAAAATATCAATAAATTTGTTTAATTTATTATAAATAAATTTTTTTATTGTTATGCTAAAATGTAAGGATGACCAGAAAGTCAAAAAATGAGCTCTTGAAATAATGGCATGCCAAATTGCACCACCACCATCACCACCATTGCAATATTTGTTGCTGGAAATTAGAACTCAGTACAAAAATTTGCTAACAATATGCCCTGTCTCCTGCAATAGTGTCTTGTACCAAGTTGGTACTTGCCAAAAACAACAACAGCAGTACATCTTGTGGTTATCAGTGACAAATCACATGCAGAAAGGATGCTCTGCATATCATGGGTTTATTTTACAGCACAGTAAGTCCATTGGCATGTTTGAATGTCTGCTGTGGCAAAATAATGTAAAGGATGTGTATCAAAAATTTTCTAAAAATGGAAATATTGGTTTGCTTTACAAACCAATACCAATATTTCTGAATATACTAAACATCCCAAAGCCCAATATATAGATACTTGACCAAATGATTGCCTTAAACAATTGTGCTATAAATTCGTTAATGTCTACCTCTAGTACAAAATTACTTAGTATCTAATCATTAGTAATAGTGGATTTATAGCCCATTTGTTTAAAGCAATCGTTTGGTTGAGTATTTTTGAATTTGCTGATATATCAGTATCAGATCATTATCAATTACATCTCTAGAATTCAAAGATTGACAAGGTCTTGTAAATTAGAATTTGATAGAAACTGAACAAATAAATTTTATTCCAAGCAACATATTTTATAATATTTTCTAAAAAATAAAATCATCATAAAAGAATTAATATCACAAGACAAATTTAGAAAAATTAAATGTTCTTTTGAAAAAAGCAATAATATTAATAATTTGGAATCTTGTTGTTTAGCTTCAAGCACTTTTACTTAAAGAAAATACTAACATTTTAATTTTTGAACTATATATTGTAAGCTTTATATTAAGGAAAAACTTGAAATCCTTTAAACTAGACCTTTTCAAAAAAGAGTTCAGTATTACATTAATGAAACAAACTATGACTGATGGAAAGTAAATTTATTTAATTATCAATATTCTACATATAGTATATGAAAAATAATATAATATTAAACTTGTCATTAACAAAACAAATTGGAAAAAAATTATTAAGCAGGACCATCAAGAGTTTGTATGGGGCCTAAAGGTAGAGTGGACCCATTTTGTCATTCGTTTAAACAATAGAATAATTGAAATGTTTCTTTTATTAATAAAAAGCAATCATTCAAACACTGTAAGACTGAAATATAGTATATCATAAAAAACAGCACACCTCTGAACCTTAAAAGTACAATTCCAAAATAGTTTAAAGATAAATCTCCTACGTGACAATGCCGAAGGGCCTCCCTATACTTCGGCACCATGGGACCAAAGGGTCGACATTGCGTCAGCGAAGATCGCAATGACAAGGTTCGTCAGGACTGACACCACTGTGTCTTTATGGACAGGCACAGAAACTGTTATGTTCTTGTGAGCAAACAGATTCAGGATGGAGGGAGAGACAGTGCACCGGAAGTGACTTACTCAGAGAAGAGTTAACATAACAACTGTTTAATTGGTAACCATAGGTCATACAGGACATACAATATATCGATTTTAACTAGGCTCAATTTTAGATACATTTGGTTCGAGAGATAATAGATATATAAAATAAAATGGACCTTAAAGTTCCACAATTCCCGAGAGAAAGAGAGTTTACATTAAATACGCGTGGTGATAAATACCTTGAGTTTTTAGTGATTCGCTAGTAGGTCGTGAAGCTCTTGATGACGCATCCAGTTAGGCAATCAAGTATTTGGTTTGACTTCCATCCAGATAATAGGCACTTAATAAGTCCAATGAATGACAAAGTTAATCCAATGAAAAGCACAACGCACATGGAAAAAGATACGGAGCTTGCGACTGATCTCTTCTAGGACTGAGCGATGACTTCCGCACTTTGTTGTTCTGTTCTATATGTTGTATTGTTGAAATCGAGATATTAGGTCGAGAGGTGATGAGAAAGCGTCATTGTCAGGCCTGGGAACTTAACAGATGTTTTGCTCCCAGATGCGAAAGTTGACAGTTATTTAACAAAAGTATAACTACGATGTGATATTAGGAGATAATGATATAAACACACTGCAAGTCTGGATTCGGATCCTCACACCTATGCAGATTGAAAACATTTGTGTTTTATCTGCATTAAACTATTCTGGAATTGTACTTTTGAGGTTCAGAGGTGTGCTGTTTTTTATGAAAAGCAATCTTAAAGGTTTTATTTTTTGCTAATAAAAATAGCATTAACTTATAGAGGTAGGACACTGCTATGGGCCAATAGTTTTTCTGGGTCCAAAAAAAAGTCCCCAGTTCTTCCATCTCAATGACCCCACTGATAAGCATATATCACAAAAAAAGTTAAAGTTATAGAACTGCTTAAAGATTAATAATATATTCCATAAAATATAAAAATACCTGAAGAGATTTCTGGAAGTTCTGGACATGTGTATCTAGTAGGACAATGACATCCTTTCTTTCCATACACAGGTGTACATCCTTTGCTTTCATAATGTTTTGTTAAACGGTTCAAATCACATTGACAAGAATCATCTTTTTTCAATAAACCAGCACCTAAAATAATTTACATAAAATACTTAATTATCCAATTTATTATTACACACACACAAACACACACAAACTAGGGGTTTTACAACAGGTCAGATGAGAGCCAAGCAACTCCTCATATGCTTGTCTCACTCACTTCACAGACAGACTTTTCCCACTTGTTCTCAAAATTGATTATGCATAATAAAAATTTTGTGACAATTCATCAATTTTGGTGTCACTATTTCTATTTTTTTTCTCTGTAATAAAGGAAAGTGTTATGATTTTAAGCTAAGTATTTTATATTTATAGAGTAAATTTGTTTCAAATCTATTCTATAAATATAAAATACTTCTACTATAAAAAAAATACTACAGAAATATAATGTATCATATAGCATATATAAATACTTCTACTAAAAGTCTATAAATATAAAATACTATAAAATAAAAAATCAAATATTTAGAATATTTAGAAAAAGAAAAACATTCTAATATTTAAATTGATTTAAATTCTCTTTAAGTAACTGTGTCTATAATTTTAATGAAATGAATTATTTTAAATACCAGCCACCTAGGGGGCAAACCAGCCCAATAGGTGCTGTTCAAAGCCCAGTAAATGGTGAGAGTTAGTGACAGGAAAGGCATCTGACCGTAAAACTTACATGGAAAATCCAAACGAAATAATGGTTAAGAGAGAATATATATGAATTTGGGCATACCCCACAAATGATGCACAGTATGTTGCCCGAAAACTGAAAGAAATTATATTCTTCTTTAACTGCACTTAATTAATCGACACACAAAAACCTTTATAATGCAGCCTTTAATTCAAGTTATCAAACATGTTTGGCCATTTTGAAAGACTTTCGTCAGGAAAATAACAATCAAATGACTCTTATTTTAAACAAGCATTTGTTCTAGAACATTATAAATTTTTGAATTTTCTTATATGCACAGGCTCATATACAGGTAGCCCTCGGTTTACGCCAATTCACAATAACGCTGCTGCAAAATGTGCAGCGGCGTTATTGTGAATTGTAACAGTGTAATTCCTCGATTTCTCCTATGCCATACTGATTTTCGTTTCAGTGTTGATGTATTTACTGAGCCATGACATTGTACTGTACATTCATTAAAACAAAGATTTTTATTGAATATATTTATTTTTTCTGTTTAATATTATTGGGTATATATTTTAAATTAATATTAAAATACTAAATGTTTAGGTTCCCACGAGTCAAGTTATTAAACTTAATAGTCCAATAAATGTCATCTGAATCCAGAGCACTAATGAATGCGAATAGTTCGTATCCCATATCAGTTCGTTCAGGAAACACTTTATGACACAGTAGCACTTCCGGCAATCACAAATTATCATTAGTGAGCATTGAAAGAGAGAGACCTGAACAGAAAGTTAAAGAAAAAAGTGCTTGAAAGAATAAATTTACTGGAAGATGTGCAGGAATGGTGGAAACTTAATAGTAGCATTACAAGAAAAGTTAGAAAAGAGATATTACAGAAAACATCAGAAAAAGGCCACCCTATGGAAAAGAGGCTTGGTGGTAGAACAAAAAGATGCAAGTTACAATAAAAAAAAAAAAAAGGAAATGAAGAAAAGATGAGAAATGTCAGGTAACAGGGAAGATAAAAAACAGATAAGATGGCAAGCAAAAAGACAAAGGGCTGTACCAATAGCAAAGGCAAAGGCCTATGAGGAACTGAATAGAAAAAATAGGGATAGGTAACTGATAGAAATTGCAAAAGTGAGGTATGAGACATCAAAGATTTTGCATCAATAGAACAGATTAAAGATGAAAATGGTAATATTACAAGACCAAGAAAAGATAAAGGAAAGATGGAAGAATTATTTTAGGAAGCTAGTGAATGAGAAAATTTCAAGAATACTATGTGAGAATGGAGAGAAAAAGGAAGGAATGAGAGATATAAGCAAGGAGGTGGAAAGAGCACTTAGAAAAATGAAGAATGGGAGCTGATCAGTTTCCAGTAGAGGTATTGAGATGTTTGGACAAAAAGGGTGTTGATATTGCATAAAATCTTATGAAAAAGCTGTGTCAGCAAGAGAAGATACCAGATTAGTAGAGGAAAAATATTTTGGTACTAATTTAGAAAGAAAAAGATGTGCAGGAATGTGGGAGTTACAAAGGAATTAAATTGATGTTATACTCAATGAAGATCTGGGAGAGAATTGTGGAAGGAAGACTAAGGCAAGAGACATCAATAGGCAAGGCAAGGAACAGTTTGGTTTCATGCTGGGAAAAGGAACAGATGCAATCTTTGCTCAGAAGCAGCTGATGGAAAAGTAGAAATGCAGGCAGAAGTGCATATGGTATTCATAGACTTAGAGAAAGTGTATGACAGGGTGCCTAAAGAGGACGTATGGAAACATATGAGGGTAAAGGGAATACCAGAAAAGTATGTAAGATTTGTAAAGGAAATGTATAAGAGATCAATGACTCAAATAAAGGGAATGTAGGTATGACAGAGGAATTCAAGGAATACAAGAGTTTGACTGCACCAGGTCTCAGTTCCTAGCCTGTTTCTCTTCAATTTGGTGATGATGTAATAGCAGATGTGAAGAGCAAGGCATCATGGAATATGCTGTGTGAGGACAATATTGTGCTGTGTGAAACATCCCAAGATAAGATAGAGAAAAAGTTAGAGAAATGGAGAAAAGCACTGGAAGTTTCTCTTTCAATGCTTTTCTCCATTTCTCTATCTTTTTCTGGCATGAAGATCAGCAGAGCAGACAGTATTTATGGCATCTGGTAAAGGGGATAAAAGTTATACACAATTCCAGGGTGAAAAGTTAATAACAGCTTCCAAATTTAAGTATCTTGGATCATATGTAGCATGTGATGAAGTAACGAGTGCAGAAATCCAACATAGAGTTCAGAGTGGATGGCTGAACTGGAAAAAAATGAGTGGGGTGCTATGTGATAAAAAATAAGCTGAAAAATGAAAGAAAGATTATACAAAACCATGGTAAGAAGATCTGTGATGAATGTTTACTGCTGAGACATGGTCAATTATAAGAGCCCAGGAAAAGAAGATGGATTCAGCAGAGATGAAAATGCTGAGATGGATGTATGGTGTGACAAAGGACAGAATTAGGAATGATTACATATGAGGAACAGTCAAGGTGGATCTTATAAGTAAGCAAATGGAGGAAAGTAGATTAAGATGGTTTGGACATGTGGAGAGAATTGAAGACTACATTGAAAAGAGGATTAGTATGTTGGAAGTGATAGGGATGAGGAAGCATGGAAGACCAAAGCTGAGATGGAGAGACAAGGTGGTAGAGAATTTGGGAGGGGAGATGAAGGAGAGATGACACCCTGGATAAAGAAAAGTGGAGAAGACAGATTAAAAATGGAAATGCTTATCCCATATAAACATGAAAAAAGCTAAGAGAAAGAAAAAGTAGTATTAGAAGTATTTTTATTAATCTCTATTTTAAATTTTTAACATGGTACGGAGAAATATATTTAAAAATAAAAATTTATACTCAAAAAATATATTTCTGTAAAATTAACAAACTTTTTAAAATCTCACATAATTAACTAAAATTTACAGTTTATGAAATGCTTCTATTATATAAATAAGTACACTCACCACAGTCCCATTTTATCGGACAACATTCTTTGTCCGAATATAAAGGGACACATCCCGGATATAACGAGAATAAATAACCCCACGGGCAATCAATTATAGCACAGGAAGCTTTGCCTAATCTGTTGAAACGCTCATCACAGACACACTTAAGACAATTATTTCCAACGGGTACTTCTTCTCCAAAATTATATCGAGAACCATTATAAAAACATTCTGGTAATAAAAGTAGAAAATTATTTTAGTAATTACAGACACAACCAAAATTATTTCTACAACTTCCTTCAGCACATAAAGTCTTTCAAGATGAAAAATGTTTACTAAAATCTCAGTACTTTCAGACTTTCCAGCCCATCCTCAAAAGTACCAAAACAGTCTTGATACCTTTTAAGAATGAGCTAGAAAGCTTGAAATTATTAGGATTTTATTGCAATATTCATGTTAAAATCCTTAAAAGCAAATATAAATTTATTTATTTAAATAAAATTAACATACCAGTGATATTTTGAAACTTGGGTACATTTATTTGTTCTGAAAAGAAAAATGTATTTTACTAGTCATTTTATCCATATTTGCATGTATAAATTCTAATAATTACCTTAAATAAAATAATTTGTCTAAAATTTGATATCGGTTGTTATATTAATTCAAATTAATATCAAATTATTGTTAAATAAACAGTAAATTTTAATCAATTCTGTACCTCAAATATAAATTTATCTACAAATTTTAAATTCCCTTAAAAGGAAAATCCTAGTTATATTAAATTTTTTTTATATAGAAGACATTAATACTCATATAACTAGGATTCTCTGTTTTTAAAGTAAATCAATTAATAAATAATTATACTGTAAGATAGAGAACTAAGAAGTATCGTAGTGAGAAATGGCCGTAAAAGAAGGCTTTTTCTACTCGGAGAACATTCAAAATTGTTTAAAATATGTAGAACAATAACTTCTCCATATAGAGGTAAGGTAATTCAGACAATATGATTATTATTAAGTGGGATGCTAAGAATTCAAATTTTAGTGAATAACTGATTTTTCTTTTCACACCAAGGTTCTTGGGATCATCCGGAAGCTTATCAAATAATCATTTAGGGAAAGATCTCGGGAATGAAACTGGCTAGATCACGACAATAGCCACACTTCTTCCACGTAAACAAAGAAAAGATTTTACAATGAAACTTTATAAGTAATGACAGGATATTGTTTTGAGGCAGTATATCTAAACTTTGCAGTGCTCACGTAGAGCAATGATAAGAAAATTGATTAAAGTCGATGAGAACAACAACAAGGACCTAATCTTTCAAAAAGGACTACCTGTTACATCTGTGTATCAAAAAAATAGTGTGACAGGCCAAAGCCTTTATTGCAATCATTACAGTTTGGGCAAGCATTCTGTGCAGAACATTTACACTTTGCTTTGTAACTTGTAACAACAAAAAGAATAATACACATTAAGTTGCCTCTAATATTACACTATTACAACCTCTCAAGATTTTTAAAGAATAATATTTGTTTTCATACCAACAAATTATAAAATTTATGAGTAGTTAGTAACCATGCAACAGTAAAGCAAGCTTAGTAATCTGAAAAACCGATGGTTTCATAGTACGCGGGGCAGATGACCGCCTCGTAACGTAAAAGTGTCGATTTCGTACAAAGCACGTGACTGACGTTTGGCTAGAGGAAACACGTGGCCAGGCCGGAATTCTTTTGAAATTTTTTACTGTTCTAAGTTGACGAATCGTTTATTATTTCCAAAAACCTCTTTCGACCAAATTCAAAATCATTTTGATAAAAATACTTTCGAAAAAATAAACAAAATCAAACTTTTCTTACTTATCAATATTAGTGCATATTCTCGAGATTACATGAAAATTCTGGCAAGGCATCGCTTCATGTTTAAAAACAATTACTGTATTTTAAAAAATGAGGATCCTTAACACAAGAAGTGCCAGCACAGACGGTCAACTCCCTGCTGTGGACAACTCTCGCCGAGTAGCTCGTTCGGCAACTGGGGCAAATATGGCATTTAAAATTTTGTTTGTAAACCGAATTGTTCGTGATAACAGGCGTCGAAACCCGAGGTTTGACTGTACGCGTTAAAATACATACGGTGTCATAAATAACACGATTTACTATTCAATACTTCGGAAACAAACATGAATCATTCTGTTACCCGAGGACTGAGACCCTAGCATTACGTAACGTTTTGTAAACGTCTCCACCCTCTGTAACCATTGTATCGATTACCCGCATACCCACTCATCCGTATCTGTGTTACGTAATTTACGAACAGCTCGCTTACGTTTTTCAGTTACTAGATTTTTGTTATTTTGTATATTATTAATTTCGCGTCGCAATTGTCGCAATTGAATCTAAAGTTGAAAGTTTTGCTGCCATTTAAAACAATTCCCATACTTCATTGCAAATCGCCTTCCATTTCGCGCAAAGTGTAAAGGAGCGAAACGGGCAAGCATTATGGGAAAGTTTGCTTCGGATTGAGAACAAATCGGTTTTCGAACAACGTTTAGAAACGAATTAAGTTCGAAAACCGAGGTTTGACTGTAGTTAATTTAAAGTAATAAAATAATGTATTAATAGCTTTCAGTATCTCCTGCCTTGTATTATTCCTTAGCAGCATTAATGGGGTCGATCGACACGTGTTACGTAATTTTTGGGGTGGATGTAAACGACAGCGTTACCGAGCATTACGGGGATTGAATGGAAGTTGAAAACTTTAAAAAGAGCATTACGTAATTTAAGATTAGTGATTTTTTCTCTTTCCATTTGTGGGCAATTTAAGCGCTCGGTCATCGGCCTTTGTAGTTTGTGCCAATTAATTCGCATTAAATCTTTATTCTAGGGTCAAGATAATGTTATTTAATTAAATATAGAAGGTCGGATGGCCGAAGAGGTAAGGCATCGGCCTACCTCTTATTGAAAAATGTTCCCAAACCTCAGGACTTTCAACGAACCATCATCCCAAAAGAATTTTCAAGAAACTCGATTGCCTCCATTGTAATTATAAACAGGGATATACAGTACTTTATTCAACAAGTATATTTTTTGATGCAATTATTGTAACTTAATTAATAGAATGATTAGATTTGATATTTCAATATGTTTACAAATTTTGTTGAGGAAGAAGGTAAATGATTTCTACTTGTAATGAGGAATTGGATTTTCTTTCTTGTCTCTCGAGCAGCATTAACGATAATCTATTTTCATTATATAAAAATGAAGATTTTCGGCAATACTCAAAATTAATTGTGTCGAAGTAATAATTAGACAGCGGATTTTAGGCAAATGTCTATTTTTCCCTTAGCATATACGTGGCTAAGATTTTGTACTAACTACTACGGTGAACATTTCTTCGATATCAAAAAACTTTCGGCCACTTTAGCGGACAATGCGGTTTGCGTAATTAAAGCCAAGAAAATTTTGAATGACATTTATGTTCGGAACAAGTCGTTGTACATAGAGTGTTATTTCACATTCATTGCGGATACTATTACCGCTCTCGAAAGTAGTGGGAAACCTACATACGAACAAATCGATCTTCTCAACAGAGCGAACCAGAAACTTTGCGATGCACCAGGCACTGCTGCAAAAATAAGTGAAGAAAAAGTCGAAAACAGTGCTTCGAAAGAGACTCGGATTAAAGAGCTCGTTTGTTGTGGCTGATGTTTTGGCAGGAAAGAAGAGCAAAACCGAAAGTGAATTCCCAGTTCGTCTTCTTCCAAGGTTGAAATATCGTCCGTTATATTCGGTAGATATGACACGGTCTTTCTCTGCGTATAAATTAATTCTCGGTGACAAACGTTGCAACTTTTCTATTGAAAATTTGGAAAAAGTGCTTGTAATATACTGTATTACGAAGCTAACTATGGGAAACGGAGCGAATAAAAAATGTAAAGGTAATTGTTTGTCTACTTTTGTGTTTGCATCATTCTGAATACGTGCATTTTTGTTTGGAATACGTATGTTAAATAAAAAATTCATCGTTCCGATAGTATGTTAATTGTACATTGCGCAAATTTTGACCGCCTATTTTTTTTTTTTTTTTTTTT